CCTCCTACATTGTCGGTAGAATGAGTAGTCGTTTCTGCTCAGCACGAACAAGCTCTAAGACCTGGAACCGTCCGTTACCTGAAAAATAATAGTGGGTCAGGCCCACGAATAAGTTCCATCCTAACTACAATCTAAATAGAGACCCGATACGCAGATACATCCTAGACGTCTCAATCATATCTATATAGTCCGTAATAGATAAATATATTTCCATACTACAGGACACTCACTAACTATGCTGAGGGTCTCAACCTGAATAGAAGGTAACATGCAATACGCACCTGAGTGGGCATGACTACCTAAGCCTAACAGGGTATACCTCAACCAACATAGCTAGCTACACATTCTACTTCATATATGCACCCTAACCGTCGACTATGAGACTCAAGCTCAAATCGCGGTACCATAATTTATATATATAAATTCCCATCCAAACCAATGCAGTGCCGCTCAACTGATTCATTGCCATGACACGACATAAAATTATGATTTAAATGTTTTAATTAAATCCCTACTCCAATTATATATATAAGTTCCTTCCAAATACAATGTTATGCCGGTCAATAGTTCATTGCTTAAGACACAACATATAATCAGGATTTAAACGTTTTAGTTAAAACCCTATCCATCCTAACGCAGAAATATAAACAACCATCCAGTATGTCGTTCAACTGTTTTAGTTGACAGGACATGAAACCATGTAGGATTTAACTGTTTTAATTAATCCATTCCGTATATATGAATGGGTAGGAATTAGCGTTGTGACCTAATCGATCCCTCCGTATGCCACCGTCCTATACCGGTGCATATATGCAAATGATTCGTAAATGATGCAACATTATAAGCAGTACATCAAATAAAGTCCACATTATCCGTATAGTTGACAAACACAGAATTTAAATAAGTCATCAACTAAATATCCAGAATCCATCCATGTAATTAAACGAGATAAAGTTTACTAATTCGTCATGTTATAATCCAGCATCCATACAGGTAATTGACAGAAAATATATTTAATTCTTTAATTAATTCCAAGCCAATGTCCAATTGAAGTCCAAACTCTAATCCAAATAATTGCAGTGTAATGCTTAAAATTACCGCAACTAAAGTTCCAAACTTAAATCCATGCATTGCAGAAAAGTATTTAGTATTTCAACAATTAACATCCAGGATATGCATAGATCACATTTGTTAATTAAATGATCCTAGCATGCCACCAGAATAAGATTTTTAAATATAAATATACTCCGTTAAATTACTGAAATTAAACTTGGCAATTAAATTCGTTCCTTCCATTAACAGCCTGCACCGCTGCACTTTCCCTCTTACTGTTAAATCCAATAGTACTAAGGCAATAATTTATTATGTGAGGCTCTAATATAACATGGTAATATTGTTTGGAATCCATGTTCCAACCCTTTTTAATTCCTAGACATAGTTTGCACAATTAAATTCTTCTGGTCCGTTAAGTCCTTAAACAGCCTGCGACTTACTTTAGATTTTCCTACTGTTTAAAACATTAGCATAAAAACAAATTAATGCATCTTAGGGCTTTAATACTCCATGAATTAGTGTTTAAAAATCATCACAGTAGCCCAGACATTGTTCAAAAACCCACGGTTGGACCAAACAAGGCGCAACTGCTTCAGTGTACGCACAAAAAGAAAGAGCTTGCTCCCAAAGCAAGTGGAGCAGGCTCCACTTTGCCTAGAGCAGGCTTTCCCACAAGGGGGAGCCGGCTTTCCTTGCCTAGAGCCGGCTCTCTCCCCTTTGAGAGCCCCAGTTTGTTTATTCGCCGTCTCCGACGATCTGCTCCATCTCCGACGATCTGCTCCATCTCCGACCCTTTCCTACCCCTCTGTTGCTTCTTAAATATGGTCTTAAGAGTCCTAGAAACATCCAACAACAACCCTATGCCTTGTTCACAATAGTTCAATTCAAATACAGTATTTAAAACCTTAACCGATAAAACATGCTTCCACTCCAAACTAGAAACCAGAGGTACAAGAACTAAAACAAATTACTTCCATATATACAGACATCTGATTTAGCATATAACAAGCATGTATAAATTAACTAATGATCAATTAAAACCCTAGAGACAGTCTAAGGATGCACAGAACACAGGCAACGGGAGAGAGAAAGGAAAGAACTTGCCTTAATCGTCTTTGAATTTTCTGATGAAATCTCCGACGACTGTTCCACCTCTGTTGCTCTTGGTTTTACCCACAAGCCAACCTCTGCTCCTCCTCCTCCTTGGTTCAGCCCTAGCCTAAGGCAAAACCCTAGACTTTCTCCCTCTCTGTAATTCCCTCTGTAACTCTCTCCGTTTTACCACCATTATGTTCACGTCTCTAAAACCCTAAACCACTGTAATGCTTATATTTATAAGCTTATTACCGTAACCCTAGTCCATATTCAATTATAGACTAAGCCCTAATTCCAATCCCAGTCGGCCCATAGAAACAAAACCATAGTTGTCATCTATGGCACCTACATACGTGACTTCCAAAAGACTGTAAATAAATAACGTAATAAAAACACTTATTTAACTTAATTACCCAATTATATATAAAAAAATAATAATAAAGAAAAATTATAAAAACACTTAAGGACACACCTTCACACAAGTTAAATCCACTAATGTAATAAATGCAATTAATTCAAATAATGCCAATTAAGTCCTTAAACACTAAGTCCATAAACACAATTAATGTAACTACAGAAAAACAAAATCAAATTTAAATAAATTAATTAATTCAAACAATAAAAAAAATAATTCATTTAAGTTAAACAAAATAAACCACTATTCAATAAACAATTTGACACATAGAAACAAATTTAAATTCCAATCTTATCATTTTGAAAATTAGGGTTATTACATTTACCATTTTAGATTGATTTCGTATTATTTCCATTTTCAGGCACTTATCCCGAAAATAAGCTAACTCAGCCAAATAAGAGCTTAATTGAAGCAATTCTGGGATTAAACAAAGAAATGAACAAAGTGGAGAAAGAAGGAAGCGAATAAGGCCAAAGGTGGGAAGCAGCAAAGTTCGATCGATTCAAGTTCAAGGTTCGATCGATCGAACAATGATCTATCTCAGCACTTCAAGATAGATCCAAGCCTTGACCTAAAAGCATAAAGTTCCAAAAGTTGAATCGATCTAACACCATCCTTCGATCGATCGAACACTTTTGTCCTTATTCAAATGATTGATCCTATCTACAGTTGTACCACCCACTAACCACTTTTGTCTTTTTCCCATAAATATCTCTTCAAAATATCTCGGATTTGTCTTTTCCCAAAAAAGCTCAACCAGTTGGATCGATCCAGCCTAAGTTCGATAGATCTCAGCCAATTCGATCGATCCAAGTCTAAGGTTCGATCGATCGAACTTCCTTCAGTGCGAAAAAGTTAAATTTCAATCTCATTGAAAGTTGTCTTTTATCCAATCATTAGGGAATATTGTGTGTACGGCCCCAGCTCATTTTGGGTGTCATTTTGACCTACCTATATAAGGATAATGATTGCTTTTTACAAAAGGAGCCAACATTGTTTTCATATCATCTCTTAGAGAGGAAGTTTAGAGGAGGAGGAGGCTAGAGACACCATTGGAGTTCTTCATCAATAAGGAACAGATTTCAACCATGGAATTAGCCCTTGAGGGTTGGAGCAACATCACCATGAGTGGCTAGACATCCTCTTGGGGCTAGAGTTAGCCCCAAGCATGCTTTGTATATCTTAATCTTGTGTATTATTGAGGGATTAGTGTTGTAATTGATGTTTTGACACTTAAATATATATAGATTTTGTTTATTCAATGATTTATGTGGTTTAATGCTTCTAATTGATCATTTCATTCTATCCATATGTCTATGTATGCTAGAATAGATGTTTATGTGCTTGTCTCTAGATTTTGTGTTATTGATGCATGTTTATGTGTATTGATGCTATAGATTTGGAGATTGTCAAAACATAGTGCTTAAATGAATGCTTTTGTGATTCTCTTGATGGTTCATGCTTATCTCTTAATGGATTGTGCCTCTCCCCTAGTTTATTTTCATGCTAGTAGTGTAGATGTAGTGTGTTTGTAGTGTATTTTCATGCTATTTTCATGTTTGATGATCCAAGTTTTTGAATGCAATTAGCATATGTCTCTATCCTTGTGTTGTATTTGGATTGTGAGCTTAATGAAAGGATTAATGACTTGTTTTGATTTATTGTGCCTTTCACATGTTGTTTAGACAATATATGCTTCATTGCTTAGATATGTTGTACCTTTCACATGGTGTTTAGACAATACATGCTTAACTAGTCATCCTTACTGGTTGAATCAACCAAACACACACACACCAATATTGCAATACACCATTTGCCTTCATTAATCACTTATCAATGATATAGAAATGCATTGCTTGGTGGTGATCTCTAAACCCCAAGACCTCTCTTTCTCTTACTTACTCTTAATTGCATTCTTTTGCTATCATTTAGTTTAATCTAATTGCTCTTTAATCAATCAACCAACCAATTATTTGATCATTCGACCTACTAGCCCTAATAACAATTCCACGACATTGCTCGATCCTCATAATCCCTTAGAACGATCCATACTCGCCCTAACTATATTTTTAGCGAAGGTAGTAGTGGTTTCTATAAATGTAAATCTCTTAACTCTCACTTTAATGCATACTCTCAAGCTTGACGGTGGTGCGGCATACAAATAAAATAAAATATAAATAATTATATTATAAATTTAATAATCCATCATTTTACTATTTTTTTTGCTAAGAATAGACATCATCAAATACAAATTCATTTATTTTGTAGTATTTGAAATCATAAGGGTAATTTTGGTATGTTCAATCACTTTCTATTTTTATGCTATCCAAAATAACAAACTAATATTTTCTTAAATAAATTTTCATACTAACCAAATGCATGCTAAAAAATAATTTTCTTTTCATTCACTTAACTTCGCTCATTTTTTTTTTTTTTTTTTTCATCTAACGAGCCTAAGGAAAATTTGTTAGAGGGTTTATTAAAGAAAATTTGTAGAAACTATAACAATATGAGAGACATACTCCATTGCCCGTGAAACCCTAAAAGGGCGAGAACACTGCATCAATAGTACTAATATTCTGACTCGATCACTAGAGTAAAATTTTGACTTGGACTTAAAAATGAGCACACCCGGTCAAGAAACTGGGTGCTCTAACTAAAACATGCATCAAGAAAAAAGAAAAAAAGGAAAAACATGCATTATGTGATGAAATGCGTGCTTGTATTTTAACTAAAAAAACATTTATAGGTGGAGAACAAGACATGAACAAACATTTATCGTTCTCTTACACTGATGCAATTATTCAAGCCGAAGGTACCGCATTCAGTTAATAAGGCGGTTCACTGTTATAGACGGACACAATAAAATTCTGATCTTTGCTCACATAAAACTGGCAAAGGTTGTTCAGCAAAATGCTCTTTCTTCCTCATTTTAGCCACCTACACAGAGATTCTTGAATTGGTTTCCGGACGATTTCCACCCATCCTCGGCCTTTTCAAGAGCTTGGAAAAGATATATTGAATCAATTTTCCCATAAGACATACTGTACCTGTAGTGCAAGCTAAAAGTGTTTCATAGAACCACAAGAACCAGAAGCTTGAGATCTTGTAGGAGCCAAAAACTACCCAAAACTTTGGCATGACCTCCTTCGCTAGAAACACATAGGAGACTGTGAATGCCAGAATAGCGAATAAGGAGACTACTTTAATACAAAATGACCACTGGAATGAGCAGATTATAACCACTGCAACAAACAAACTCGCCATAAATGCGGCTGTGTTGAACACCATGAAGGCGAAGTTACCAGGCAGCAGGATGGGTGACATAATCAAATCTTTAGCACTAGTCATTGAGATTCCAGAGAAGTTCTTATCTAATGGTAATAGATAGATGTTGTTTAAATTGGTAAGACTAGAAAATGCAGCCCCTGCAATAGTAATGAACACCGCGACCGCCCCCAATTTCATGCTTTTGCAAGTACTCCTTGTAAACCTGGGCGTCAGTGATTGCGAAGAAGGTGGTTTTTCTTCACAGCTGCAAAATAGCAAATGGCCCTCCTTGGCTCCAGCTTGATGAAGAATGTCACTGATATCCTTGTCATTCCTATCGGAAAAATTTTGGTAATGAAGGTCCAAGGCCGTGAATCCCCCTCTATTTCTGGAGTTTACTTGCACCACAGGACCGGCATTTGTAGACTTGTCCGGGAGCAACATCTTTAGAATCTACATATATGAAAATTAATTAACTGGTGACTTGTGGATTGGGTCAAAAATGGATCATAAACCTTAATTTTAATCTAAATCCAACCTTACATGCATACATTGTACTATGAACAATATATCCTTGCCCCCTTTAGATGTTAGGATGAATCTCCTCCTTGTATGTAATTAACTAGGAGGTGTCGGCGTATTAGTGTGACACCTAAAAACTTTCATTGATGATCATCATATATATTGTGTATCAATCCATATCCCACACAATGATATTAAATCTGAATATATAGACGTACATATAGATTAAAAAAAAAAAAAAAATCAAATATGAAATAAAAGAGTAGAGAAAAAGTGATTTTGAATTTTCTTGCTCTTAATGCCTTTAGCACTGTATATAGGCTGTCCCTCCACAGCCTGCATGTTTGTCCATTCTCTCCATCGGACTTTTTTTTTTTTCTTTCTATAATACGGACTTACCTTACCAAAAAAACAAAAAATGCAACACCTAAACAATATTTTTAGCAAAAAACAGGTGAACGGTATCTGAGTGCATGTTTAGTCGGCTAGAATCTAGATGACTTGACTTTTAGTCGAAGATAGTGAGATACTAGCAAATATTTCTCATTTTTCAACATGCTAAGGATTCAATGAGGTCGACCTAATCTGATCGATCACACCACAAAATGAACACAACCTAGTAGCATATAATGACTCTACATTTTTTTAATAAAAGGAGTATAAATCTGATTATTGATAGTCCACTCTCACATGGATGGTTAAGAAAATGATTTTCTGTTTCTTTTATTATATTTTAGAAGGAAAACTTTTTAATTACATACTTACAAAAGTTTTGTTTGTAAAATTGACGAGGAAAACAAACAAGACATTGGAGTGTATATATATATATATATCGGATTGGCATGAATGAAGGAGAGGGGGGGAGAGAGAGTCTAGTAGATTACCTGGATTTGTTTGCGTAGAGTTGCAATATGTAAAACAGAGTTGCCCTCATCGTCCTGGCGGGTTAGAAGATTCATTAGATCGTGCTTTTGAAGTTCTTCCACCATCACTAGAAACGAACCACAATGGTTATTTTTCAAGGCCAGATGAAGAGCAGACTCTCGCTGAGAAGTCAACTTCTGAATAGACTCGGGACAAAGAGTAACCAATGCCCTCAGAACTTCTTCTCTGCCATTTATCGCGGCAGTATGAAAGGGGGTTCTAGAATGAATGTCTGTAAGATTACAGATCATTTGAATAGGATCACCAGCCTCCACCACTGCCTTCACAATCGCAACATCTGCAGTTCTACAAATGAAATGCATAACAGTACTGGAACCATCTCCGGTTCTCTGCCATGCCAATTCCGGTTTTAACCGGATTATTTCTTTCGCACAGAGTACGCTCCCATACTGAGATACCATGAGTAGAGGATTGTTTTCCCAAAACTTTGCACTATCTTCTTCTGATAAGTAATTTTCAATTAATGTTTTCAAATCAGTGATATCCTCAGTTTCAATTGCTTTAAGGAGTGCCTGAGCCATATTTAATTTTCACTTCACAACCCTTCTCGATCTCTTTCTATCTAGCCAAGTCCTCTTGAGGTAGCTAGCGGAAATGTAAAATGAGATTGGTTAAATAAAGGAAGCCTGGTGGTGGCTTTAAGGGAAGCCTGGATAAATTATTTTTTCCGGTCCACCAGCTACGCTTCTACGCAGTTACTACTATTATTTCCATGATAATAATGGGTGAACAATTGCCATTAATATTAATTAATAAGCGCTTTCACGGTACTATGGTCATTTTGAGGTCACTCAGCGCATATATGTTGGTATATATATTAATCACAAAATAAAGAACAAATTTCTTATTTATTTATTTATTTTCTTAAAAAAGAAAAAAAAAATAGTAGGGACAAATTTTCTCAAGGAGACAATATTCAGAAATCACTATTTGATTGATGCACTTTTTAAAGTAAAATGATATCATTGTCCGGGCTTCATAAATAAAAGAGAGCCAAGGATGAAATGTTTTGATTGTATTTCAAATTCTTATTGTAATTAAGTTTTTATTTTAGAGCGATAGTGTATTAGATAATTTCTTGATCGACAAATATGAGGTAAGAAATTGTAATTTTGCTAATTGAGTTTTGAATTTTGTAAATAGATATTCAGGTTATTGTCAAAAGTTATAAGATTTAGAGAACATGAAGATTGAGTAAAGTGAACACTTTTGACAAGAAAGAGTTGTACTTCTAATTTTGAGTAAATCAGGTTGATCTTATAATTTGTTATATTTATTATTATTATTTTAAACTTTCACGATGATTATGCTACCGTTTTGCCCAACATGTTAACCTCCTAACAACTTTCACAACTCTCTACTAAATTAAGATAGAAATTGTGTACATACATCACATTTTTTATTTCCCTTTCATGGTAAGGTAAGTAAATGTTTCTTGGCCTCAAATTAAAGTGCCCTTTAAAAACTTATAATTTTAGACGGAGTAATATAAATAAAGATTTATATATAAAAACGACGTACAAACAAGCTTCATTGGTAGAGGGAGTTGCAGGGACATTTCACTTCAGGAACGCGTGGAGAAATACAAGCATAATTCACTAGCGTTGTTATTTTATTGCATATATCCACCGAATAGGGACAATTATTCCATCCTTACTTTTCAAACATTGTATGTGATGCTTTGCTAAAGTCGTGGTCGATGCCGTGATTCCTTAAACTTTTGATAAAAAATTCAAAAAAAATATCAATAAAAAATTGAATCCCAACCTTAATATAATTTGGTGAATGTTACGATTACAAGGTCCATCATATACATAATATATTTTGGAACAAAGGATTTATTGAGTAACAGCCTAGATATGATTGCAACCCATGCAGGATGTTCATGTTAGTCTATTAGACCCTTAACAATTGAATGCCAATTTGAAGCATGAACAAATATTATTCATGAATAACTTTCCAAAAAAAAAGTATTATTCGTGAAAAAGGGAAGCTTGTCATGCTTTTAGACAAAAATTGGACCTCGTGAAAGTCATCTGATGGACTCGAGATATGTGGAAATATTAAGTTTGTGTTCTTGACTTCTAGTATAATAAAATTCTCACCCAGTGCTGAATGTTTTGTTCCCTCGCAAGTTTTATAGATAAAAACTTGTGTGATCTAAGTACAAAAACTTTAGTTTAAATATTAAGAACGATTATGTTGTACCACAGGACGTCCTTGCAAATGGTAAGGGGGAGAGCCCAAACCTCTTCAACTTAATTTTATATTCCTGTGACAGAAAAAAATAATATTTCTTGTAGTAACAGTATTCCTTTTATTTTATTGTAATCTATACGTGTTTCTTTTAACTGTTATGCTGTAGTTGTCTATAACAATTTTATAAAATATATACAAGACTTATAGTCGAAATTTGGGGTAACATGTAGGCAGGCTCTATCTGTCCTTATATTCAACATCAAAGGGACATCGATCGTGAAATAATCTAGTCTATTAAAAAAAAATTAACCAAAATATCAACATCGATCCCAAATGGCAAAAGTCACGGACAAGGATGACATAATTCCACAAATTATTCTATCTAATTGAAAAGAAATGTCGACGAAATGGTGCAGAAAAAACACACATAGCCCTGTCAGCCAGCCCCCTTCAACACTCAAAATTCCTTAATTTCCAAACAACAACTAGTAAAAGTCACACTCAACTCAAGGATTAGGATGCCACTTCGACGTCGTTTATTTTGAAATTATGGAATTTTGAGTGTTGACGGGGCTGACTGAGTCAACTCAAGGTTTATTAAGAAATTTCCTACCACGTTAGTAGTCTCCCCCACCAACGCCATGACATGTACTTTATTTATTTATTACTACTTTTATTACAAGTAGTAGTAGTAAAAAAAAATGTAACACAAACATTGTACCGGGTGGGTCTCTTGGTTGAAAAGAATGCATTAAAGTGAGTTGCAAAGAAAATAAAAGATAAATTAATAAACAGTAAAAGTAGAATTTGGAACAGAAAGCAAGCTAATAGTATATAGTTGCTGTTCGTAGTATTGAGTTGCGTTTGCTGTTTTTGAGACACGTTTTTTAAACAATGGGAGAAATGTCTTTCCGGCCGATGTCCAGCTTTGAGGTCATGCTATCTCAGTGGAAACCTCATCTTTCGTTATGTCAAGCCAAAGATAGTGTCATTACGTTGCATGAAGATTTACATGTGGCCTGCCGGGAGGAGCAACCGGAGACTGTGAAAGCTTTAATACATAGTTACGGTACCAAACAGTGTTTTTCCAGGGACAAATTTGGAGGAACACCACTTCACATCGCGGCAATGAGAGGCAGAATAGACGTGATGAAGGAATTGTTGGATGCTTGCCCTGAATCCGTGAAAGAGGTGAATGCAACGGGGAAGACGTGCCTTCATACTGCCGTCATGTATAAGAAGGGGAAGGTCGTCCGCTACCTGCTGAAATGGCTATGGAAAAGAAGTACCGAGTATGCGCATCTAGTTAATGTAAAAGATCAAGGTGGAAATACGGTTTTGCACTTTGCTACTTCAAGAAAACAACTCCAGGCAATTCTTTCTTCTCTACCAATATATGTATATATATATATATATACATATATATATATATATCTTTCCTTCTTCACTTCCACTATGTGTTTTTATTTTCTTCTTCTTCTTATTATTCATTAATTTCAATAGTTAACTAACATACATGGCTCTGTGACTGAAAAAGAAAAAGAAAAAAAAGAAAAAGAAAAAAGAGATCAATGGATCCATTAATCCATACAGGAAAGAGAAATAGCAATTGCAAGAACAAATCATGAAAAAAAATTAAAAAAAATCAAGGGCTAGAACACCAAAACTGTCCTCCAAGATGAGCCACAGCTAGGCCCTCCTCGTGTCTGCTTAATTTCTCTCGATATTTGTGTTGCAAAAGAAGATGCAGTACTGTTTCAAGGGCTGGAAGAGACCAAAAGAAAATACATCTAAAGAAGAGCCTGATGTGGCATTAATCCTTTTTTGATTGACACCAGAACAAACTTCAGACGGTTGGATTTTCCCCTTGTCTAAATTTTGAGATCATTTGATTTCACCGGCTTTTGAAAGCGTTGAAAATTATTAGTATTTTTGGCCCAAGTTCAACTCAACTATGTGCTTATGTTATCTTTCATACTTTTCTTGCTTGTTATTCTCCATTGTTGTTTGCAATTTCTTCAACTTTTCTTTAATGCAGACTCTAAAGGTATTGCTCGCTTATGATCCAAACATTAGCAATTTAGTGGAGGTGAACGCATTGAACTCTAGCGGTTTCACTGCACTGGACATCCTAGATGTTCTGCCAGATGGTGGGAAGCTAGATATGGAAATTGACAAGATCCTTCGGCGAGCTGGAGCTTTGAAAGCCAGAGATGTTGTCATTTGTGGCACCAAGCATGATGCTGTCTACGATTGTAGAGGAAGGTCTCACCAGGCGTGTCATAAGGCAGTGATGACCATCTCCTCCAAATCAAGAAAAGATTATGCACGTACTGTGTTATTAGCGATGGCCACACTGGTCACAACAATAACCTTCCTTGCAGTCCTTTGTCCCCCTTTTGGTACTCTCAAACAGGGTTACCCAGGCACCCTCCAACTGAAGAAACAACATTCAATTATAACCCGGTCATTCATATTGTTCAACACCGTCGGGTTTGTTGCATCACTAGCCATTCTTATATTCCTCCTGTATGAATTCCCACTGAAACCATGGCCGCAAATATCAGTTTCTTCACTGTTTGGATCATATGCGTGTTTGATAATGGCAATATCTGCAGGTGAAGCATTACTTCTGCTCGCGCTAGCAATTCCGGTTTTATTGTTGGCTGCTACAGGGAGATTAAATGGCTTTGCACGACAGAGCTCTTATTGAAGTTATATCTTTGAACCTCTTAAATGTTTAATCATGTACCTCAATTATATTGCATAAAGTAGAATTCATGGAGTCACATAAGATTCAATATCTGTCTTGTTTGTTTGTCCAAATATTTAAAATTGAAACTACTGCAAAATAATAGTGGTAAGGTGTTGTAATAAAAGATGTGGATGTTGTGGTGCACTTGTTTTGACCTTGGTTCTACTTTTTCTTCTTCTTCTTTTAATTAACTTTTTTATTTCCGCTTTTCTTGGTTAATTAAATTGACAAAAAGTATCTTCCGCATCCCTCCCTAAAAATTGATTGAACTGTACCAAATCAGACTGATTTTTTATTACAGTTTAGTTAGATTTGAATTCTAAAAGTACGGAACTATTCATAAATGATTTCGTTACTGGAGTTTTACAAGACCAAATCAAACTAAATCGAACCGTTTTATAAATGGTATATATGTATTTATATATTTTGTATAATATAAATAATAGAATAATAATATTAGCTTTTCAACTATATATCATAATATATGATAAAATGTATATTGTAATAGAAATGCATATTATATATTTTAAGTTTGACAAAATGAGCAAAATAGTCACCTAAAATTAAAAAAACAGGTGAGGAAGTCAGTCATATTAGTTCTGAAAATGAGCACTTTGTTGGGTTTGTGCTTTAAAATTTGTGTGCAGAAAATTAATTTCATTTTTTGTTTTGGAAGGCTAAAATTTGTTGAGAAAATTGTATCCCATTATGTTTCTATTTTAGAGGTGTGATCATTATGGTAACTCGTTGTAAACAACTTGGAGAATACTTTGTCCAACAAGAACAAGAAATTGGGTTTAAAAACTCTATAAATAGAGATGGGTGTGAGGGGTTTTAAGAGAGAGAGAAGATGTAACGTTGGGTAAACCATGTAAAATATTGTATTGTGCGTTGATGTATATGATTGTTATCTTCATATATGCTTGTATTGATATGATGTGATGATACTTCCGTTGTGTGTGATGAATGAGGGATTTAATTCTCAATAACTGTCGACCGTTGAGTGGATTGGAGGGAGTTAATTTTTCTCAACACACTTTGCCCCTATCCAAATGCCAAAATCCTCTTTCTGGTGTATTACCGGTGATATGGTAATACACGTAACTCGAAATTTTTAACTAATTTCAAGATTACCCTCCAATATGATGGATATACTCTCTCCCTATGAGAAGAAAAAAAAAAAACACAAAAAAAAAAAAAACAAAAAAATACAAAAGCTTTTTCACCCATACTCTACATCAAACCCATTTGCAACTACTCCATGGCCATTCATACGTAACTTTCCTCACCAATCTGTGCAACTAGTTGGAAATTTTGGGCCATTAATAGAGAATAAAAGGGGAAAGTATAACATTTAGAAAGACTTAAATTATCTGGATAATTAATTAAGGTGTATAAATAATTGAAGAATATATAGGATAAATAATCTAAAAATTTTAATTGCAAGAAATTAAAAATAGCAAGTGAGAGTCACAACGATATAAAGAAATAATTGGAGAATATATAGGATAAATCATCTCAAATTTTTAATTGGAAGAAATTAAAAATAGTAGGTGAGAGTCACAAGGATATAAAGAACAAATTTTTATTTTTATTTTTATTTTCTATTTTTATTTAGGTATTAGTTATTTGGGACCATATAAAACAAAGATACATAAATAAACTGTATCTAATGCAACCACTTCGCTGAGCTTAATTTTAGACGAGTTTTTATCATTTTTTGGAAACAAAAACAACAACAAACTATAAGATTGATAATTTTATTTTTAATTTTTCTTTTAGTTTTCTTTCCATTTAAGAAAAAAATCAAATTAGCATAACTATTAAGAAAAAATTAAATCAACACAACAGAATATACAATAACCAACAATTAACACAGATTAGTCAATTACATTAGACTAATCAAGGGTACGAACTTAGGAAGAGAAATTAGTCTCTGATGCCATGTTGTAAAGCATAAAACACAAGCGAAGAAATAAATAAAACGAGTAGAACATATTACGTGGTTCAACCACTAGGGCATACATCCACGACCCAAAGAGTTACATCACTTTTATAATACTCTCTCAATTCATATACAAAAGGAGAAATTATGATAATGGTAAGAATTAGTAAATAAAAAATAAAGAGGATTTTTTTTCATTGATTCCTCTAGTAACACCAAATCTTCAATAATAAAAAATAACATCTGAACGATTTTTCACCACTGACTCTTGCATTAAATCTTTAATACTATCCATTGCTATGCCCAATCCCATTAACATTTATGCTTGAGTTTTCCGTGGCCAGTGGTACAAATAATTATTAAACTATTTTTCTTCTTCCTTTAGTTACGAATCGTGGGACCTAGGTGAGTTGTCCTTTATGAGAGACTTGAAGGAAAGTGGAGGCTCAGTGGCACTTGGTGTATTATTTATGTCCCAATTGGCAAACTCATTTTTTCGCTCATTACACCCTTACGAAGCTCCGAATATATCTCACCGTGTAAATGCAAAACAGTGAAGAAATTTTGAAGCTTCGATTCAGATGGAATTATACAATCAAGAACCCAAAACGACCCATCAGAAATCTGTCCCTTCTAAACTTGTTATTCAGAATCAAGCTTATTTACCCCAAATAAAAAATAAAAATATTTGTTTGGAGAGAGAATTTCACATTATTTTGTTACTATTTATTCCAAATTTGATCGAGTTTTCTTTTCTTTGTTTATCAGAGTTGTCTTTCCTCCTTTGCATAGGAGATTTCTCTTTTCTTCAGAGATTCTCTGCTTGTCAGAGTGGTTTTTTTGGTCTCTATCGTGGTCTATTTTTTCTTTCCTTCTTTATCTTTCTTTCTTCTATGGTGGTCTGCTTCGTATTCTCTGGTGGTTTGATTCCATGGAAGCTTCAGCGATGTTGACGGTGCCGGAGTCCATAAAGGTTATGCTAATTGGTCAGCGAAGAGAGATGTTCTATGGCTCTATTGAAGGTCGCTGGCGTTGGATTTGGTTGTACGATCCTTTATGGCGGTTCTCTTTAGGAAGAGATTTACGATGGAGTGTGGATTTCACGTTTCTGAGTACTAGGCTAGCAGTTGTTGTCCCTGGTGTTGGCGTTGTGGTGGTCGGTGGTTTTTTGATGGGTCGGCTTTGGAAGACGGCTCTTGGGTTTTCGGATGGTGCTACTTCGACGTCATGACTGACGTAGGGGACCGATATTTTCAAAGTTTCTTTTTGGAGTTTGGTGGCCAGCTACTTGACTTTGCTAAGATTTTCTATAAGGTGGTGCAGCGGTTTCTTTTCCGAGGTAAGATTTTTTCTTATTTATAGTTCATTTACTTACGTACCTTGGTGTATTCAGTTAGTGGCGGTGCCTACTTGAGAGCAATTCAGGACCTGTTTAACCTGTAGACTTTAAATGGGCCGTGTTGTATTCTGCTTTCTAGTCCCATTTCATTTCTTGGGGAAACTGAGGCCCATTTGGTGTTCATTTTCATTGGTGGTCTGTTGGATATGTCAGGGCATGGGTTGCTGGCTTCCATTGTAGTGGGTTCTTTGGTTCTTTATGTTTGTCGATCGATGAATTTATGTTGGGTTCCTCCAGGTTTCTTGGTGGTGTGTATTGGTCCCAATCTTTACCTCAGACTCATTCCAATCTTTCACTACTAAAATTGCAATGTTAGTTGGTGCTGGACACTCTGCTGCTACAGAAACCGTTTAAGCTTTGGTTCTCATGATGGTGGTCATGTCTTAGCTTAGTGTTGGGTTTCTTTGGAGTTGTCTACTTTTCTTTTTTCTGTGGTTCTTTTATGATCATGTTGTGTACTTGTTTGGATTATTTGTTGATCTTGTAATGGAATATTGGCTTCTTGTTTGCCATAGCGAAAAAAAAAAAAAAAAACACTCTGCATTTGGTTTATAGTGATTTCACACCTCTTCATTAGACTCTGTTGCTTTTATATCTCCTCAAGCATTAGTGTCTCGTGAGACGGTGAAGAATCAATTTGTTTCTTCACTTCAAATTTGAAAGTGCTTTCAATTTATGCACGAAGTACCAAAGCCTTTGAAAACTAAATTAATTCCACATGGTAAGGATTTTGAGCTGTCCGTGGCTCCACACAGGGGCGGAGCCAATGAAGGCCTAGGGGGGGCACGTGCCCCCCCTGAGTTGGCCAGCAACCTATAATATATGTGGTAATTTTTTAAAAAAATTCTATATATATGAAAAAATTTATATAGTACCCCCCTCAAATTTGTAGTTCCTAAAATTATATTCGTATTTTTTCTTTTACTTTTCACATTCCTTAAATTTCTTTAGTAGAAAAAGTCAAATTTCTCTTCCTTTATTGAACTTTTTAACTATTTCCTATTAAAGTTCTTTCATTTTTCTTTCCTTTTATATTTTAATAATTTTCTTCTTCTTTATCTTTTTGAATTTTATGGTTGTTATATATATATATATATATATATATACTCCGTATTGGTTTTTTTTTGACAGTGTGCCCCCCCCCCCCCCACTTGAAATCCTGGCTCCGTCACTAGTTCCACATAAGCTGCTTTAACAACAAAGACGCTTGCCAACATCTTAGCAAGAAGAACTTCCATGAAAACTCTTTTTTGTTTAATATATATACATTCACGCTGGATTGAGCAAGTTGCTTGATACGTACGTATTTGTCTGGTATGCAAATTGAGAGAAACAATGCTGAGAAGAAAATAAAATGAATTGAGCATTACTGCTTCGCTTAATAACAATTGAAAGGGCATTTTTGTCTTTTAATTTATTTATAAAAGGAGTTGAAACACTGCCAATATCAACTCCCTTTTATTATACATCTCATTTTGTATAAGTCATTTAACTCTCATAATAATATGGGACGGGACGGGACGGAATTGAGACTAATATATATGAGAATACATCATCGACTTGATGAGCATTAAATAAAGCTGTTCATCATGTTGGGGAAACGGAAGTTTTAAAAACTTTCAGAGGGATTTTCAAATGATGATCTTGATTCATATGTAGAGTCAAGTTTTATGTATGAAGAATATGATGATCCATTCAAATTAGGGATAAAAAACTTACATCGAGGTTTGAGTAAACCTTAAATTTTTTCTCTAAAGTGAATGTTCTCACTTATTATAGATCTCTTTCCTAGATGCCTCT